CGCGCGACACGCGATATCCAATGAGAGTATACCTTTAGAATGAGAACATCGGTAAAGCACTCATTGGATATCGCGTGTCGCGCGCGACGAACATCGCGCTGGTGTGCCGGAGGCATTACTTACTTCTGTTAAAGTATCATTGGGCCGTATTCATAGTCGAGTCTCAAGTCAATACTTAAGTCAATCTTAACTAAGTCAATCTTATTCAATCAAGATCGTCTTAAGATTGATATATTTCATAGTTGTGAAATAAGACGATCTTCACAAAGAAGATTTTGCTCAAGTAAGTCTTATTTGATTTGAGATCAACTTGGCAAAGACGTACTTAAGTACATTCTCATTCTGGAATCGGCTATTTCCGTAATATTTCTATTAGTTCCTCCAATAGAAACCTTTGGATTCAGGGGCGTCGAGTATAGCCGCGTACGTGGCACTCGTGATTTTCAATTCCATGGTCGATTCCAGACGTCCCTCATATCGCGGTTTTTTCCACGTTATTAGTAATAATGCTTCCACGTTATTAATAATAGATTAAAGTAGATTAGAAGATTTTTATTTCTTGCAGATTTTCGCCGGGCGGCGAATTACCGTACCTTCAACCTGTCATAATGTGTATATAACCTTAATTGGACAGGTTGAAGGCACGGTAATTCGCCGCCCGGTGAAAATCTGCAAGAAATAAAAATCTTTTGGTTCAAGGCGCAATTTGATTACAATTCTTTTTTTTTTATTTGATTACAGTCTTGTATTACATTAGTCATAGCTGTATTGTCCAGTAAGGTTCTTCTTGAAGTAAGTAAACAATTATTTGTGATAATTAAGATTATTTGTGATAAGTAAGAATTTTTCAATTTAAATACAATTTTGTTTACAGAATGGCTTCTAAAGAAAAAAGTAGCAAAAGCAAACATTATACAGATATGGAAAAGAAAGTATTTCTACAAATACTTGATAAATACAAACATGTAATAGAAGTAAAAAAAAATGACAGCACAACATTAAAAGATAAAGATGTTGCATGGGGCGAAATATGCAATGAATTTAATCAGTCAACGTTAATTTGTCACGAGGTAGGCAAAGTCTAAAGAGAAAATTAGCTATTTATTTATTTTTTAATTTTAGTTTAATATCTTATGTGAAATCAAATACATAGTTCTATAAATAATTTTGATAACAGAGAACTGCTCAGCAATTAAAGAAATTATGGGCAAATCTAAAGCAATATCAACGAGAAGCATTAACAAAGGAGAAACAGTCATTTATGGCAACTGGTGGAGGACCACAGGAGACAAAAATAGAAGTCGATCCTGACATTGCCAATATCGCACCCCATTTGATGAAGACCGCACCAGTATTATTTTCATCTAATATGACAGAAACTGAAATTCAAGGTATATTATACTCGTGTGTATATAAATTAGGTAACTGTTAGACTTTTAAACTTATAACTGTTAGATTTTGGAGCAGAATTTTCGAGAGAATATTTTTTAACTCTTATACTACAGATTGCTGAAAGTAAGACATTGTCATATGTGCAATATGTTAGCGTTAATGCTAAGTCGTCTCGGTCTAGCAGCACGTGCATTTGATATGTTAAACATGAAAATATGAACTTTTATTATTTCATGCATTTTAGATAAACATGACTTGGTGTTTGATCTCATATGTACTGACGAAGGTATAGAAGAATTGTCTAATACAGGACATGTGATAAACATAAGTGATGTAGAAAGTACTACTGCTTCGCCAGGTATTATTTTATATTTTATTTGTATTACATATTTATCTATTAAAGCGTATTTCTTTGACTATGGCAAGTACTAAATACAATTGTAATACTATCTCTTTATGTTTTGTAAACATACTTACTATTGTAGGAAGCTGTAAAAAAGAATTGATGACATCACACAGTATAGATATGCCAAAAATACATTTAAATAATGATAAAAAAAAACCACATATTTTGAAACGAAAAAGAAAAGATTTGCTGGAAGCATCAAATGTAGAAGAGGAATTACGAATACAAAGACTACATAACATTATAAGACAAGAAGAAAAATTAGCAGACATTAAGTTAAAACACGAAGAAAAAGTAACACTTATGAAAGAGGAGCATTTAAAATTATTTAACGACATGCAATTGAACCATTTAAAAGTCATACAAAAATTAGAAATAGAAATAAAGAAATCAGAGCTAAAAAGTATCGAATTAGATAAAGAAAATATAGATTTACTCATTAAAAAATAAATTTTACTACCGTATACTATAAATAAGCCGTAAACTGTAAATTATAAGTGACGATAACCCCGGGGTCCGGATCTACAATAGGGTTTTAAGTCTTAAGCCATAAGGAATGGGCGAATCACAGTCGCTTATTCTTCTCGGATTCGACTGTGATTCGCCCATTTCTTATGACTTAAGGCTTAAAACCCTATTGTAGATCCGGGCTAAAGGTTAAAGCCTAAATCTGCGCAAAAACAGTTAGAAATTATATTGTCATTTAATCTCTTTCGACTTACGACTTAAGCCCTTTTAAAGCAAGGTTGTGAATCTTATGCATCATGCGTTATGCAAAAGGCTGTGATTCTCTCATTAGTCAGTCGCGCGTAATAAAGTACAACCACGTACAGCTATTATGTATGTTTTATTTTATTTCTATTTTGTTTAAGTTTATTTTGTTCAAAATATTTTTATTTACTGATATGTTACTAATGTAACATTTCGTTTATGTTCTATAATGAAATGATTCAAAAATAATAATATTTGGATATAACATTGTAATAATATTATCTAATATTCTGTTTTTTACTCAAAAGTAGTATTATGTTTATGATGTACAAAAATAAATTACGCTTTAAATGATACAATTGTATTTATACTTTATACATATTTTATTTTATTTATTTTATATGCACTTATAATTAAAGGATGCCAAGAGTTTGTGTACATCAGTCAATTATAGTCAATAATAATTATGTAAAATAATAATTATGTTAAATGTATTTCGCAAAAAAGGAAAAACTATTGTCAAAGTCGAACTTTTTATCTGAACAATCGTTCGATAATAGCATTTCGCACAAGGAAGCCGTCTCCTGGTTGCCAGTGAGGTGGAAGTGGCGGAACTTCGTTATTTTGATTTATATTTTCTATTTCTTCTTCTTCTTCTTCCATAATATCATTATATATTAGCGAGTCATTGTGAAGAACAGCGCATGCTATAATAATTGTCGTAGATGTTATTAATCTTGTTTGAAGACCTCTTGATAAACAAGGGAATCTACGTTTCCAAATTCCAAAAGTCCTTTCGACGATTCTTCGTGTTTTTCCATGGATCATATTATATCTGAAAAAAAATATTATCAATTATATATATTTGAACTAGTATTATTATATTGCTAGAATTGTAATTTTAAATTATATGTATATCAAACCTTTCTTCTTTATCACTGGTGGGATTATTAATTGGTGTTAATAGAAACGGTAAAGAAGGGTAACCACTATCTCCGACTAGTATCCCATCTAATTCACGTTGTCTGTATCGCATGTATATACGTGAATTCTGAAATATACGACTATCATGCTCACTTCCTGGCCATTCTGGAACTATATCTAAAAACTCAGTACGTGGCCCAACAACAGCCTGCAAAATATATATTAACTAAATTTTAATAAAATATCAATTAAAAAAATTTTAATAATATAATAGTTTATATAAATATATATTATATATATAGTCCATATATATATATACACACATCTATATATACATATATAAATTATGTACAATAATATGTGAATATAATTATAACGAGCACACCAAGGATGTCCAATTGTCTCTCTCACATGTCACTTTAAAATTAAATTAAAATAGTTAAAACACTTACTTGAACATTTAACGAAAAATATCCTTTTCAATTTCTAAAGATTTCATCAATGGCTTGAAATCTAGTATGTATCAATCGAATATGCGTGCAATCGATTGCTCCATCAATGGAAGGTAAACCTATAGCTCCACCAACATGACCAAGCTCTTCAAATAAACGTTTATTTTCAATCATTTTTGCAGCTGATACTGGCATCTTTATGTATACATTAATATAACTGGCTAACAGAGTTGACACTCGAAAAATAATTCTGGAGATAGTTGGTTGAGATACTTTTATTACATCTCCTATGACGAGCTATAAAAATAAACCAATATTATATTATGTTTATAAATATCAACATATTACAATCTTGCGTTTCGAGGGTTTTCTCCGTGTTCAAATCCATTCTTGGAATGCCAACGTTTCGTGAACCTTGCAGTCCACTTCATCAGGGCGTTGGCATTCCAAGAAACGTTGGCATTCCAAGAATGGATTTGAACACGGAGAAAACCCTCGAAACGCAAGATTGTCATATAGGAAACACCCGTGAAAGCCTCAAGAATAT